TTCATAAATGGCCACCAGATCCCCTTAGCCTTCTCTTGTGGAGGCTGAATAGGTTCAGGCCCTTTAGCCTCTCTTCGTAGGGCCTGACCCGCTGCCCCTTGACCATTCGAGTGGCCCTCCTCTAGCCACATCCCTCTTGAAGTGCAGCACCCAGAACTGGACACTGTACTCCAACTGTGGCCTGACCAATGCCACATAGAGGGGGATGGATCACCTCCCTGGACCTACTTGTGATGCATCTGTAGATGCACAACGAGGTGCGGTTAGCCTTACTGGCTGCTTCCTTGCATTGGTGGCTCATGTTCATCCTGGAGTCAACAATGACTCCAAGATCCCTTTCTACCACCGTGTCGACAAGAAAGGTGTTCCCCAGCTTATAGGTGTGTTGCTGGTTCCTTCTCCCTAGATGCAGTACCCTGCACTTGTCTGTGTTGAATTCCATCCTATTCTCATCCACCCACCTCTGTACCCTGTCTAGATCTAGTTATGAAACTGTAAAACACATTTCCACACACAGGTTTTAAAAATTCCCTTGGGGGCAGTGCTGCTTTTTGATTGTCATTTTTCAACCTAAAATTTTCCCTTTAGCAGTGAGTCTTTGGTTTAATATCTTAATGACAAACTGACACAAGGGAACAAGCATGTGAGGTGGCATATGAAGTGGAACAAATATGCAATGTGATCCACAGGAAATAGGTAGCAGGAAATAAGTTCCATTGTTATTACTAAAAGTAGCACAGAATGATGACTGCAAAACTGGGCAAGTCTGCTGAACACTGTTTTTTGGGATGGAAAAGATAAGGCAGTTGGAATTTTTTAGCTAACCTGAGTGTAGTGGATAGTGAAGATGGCGTGGGATCTGCTGCTGGCATCATGAATATGCGTAGCTGCTGTGATTCTACAAACAAAAATGCAAGGAAAATAAGTTCACTTGGGACAGTTTAGTTCTCTGTATTCAGAAAGAGTGCAAATAAGAAATGGAACTGATTAGTCAAGGCTAGAACTTAAGTACTGCAAATTTAAAAAATTCAGCAGACTAAACTCTTGGACCTGACCAAACTGTGCTTTGGTAGGGGATCTACAAATGCGGACGACAAAAGTAAATTAAAGCTAGCTTTGAACTCTGATGGTCCTCAGAATAGTCTAGAAACATATTAAAATGTTATAGGAAGAAAATTTGGGGTCTTAAAGAAAAGCAAAATACAGCTTGAAAGTTTAACCAGTGAAGAAAATGTCATATCCCAACTTCCCTTCAACATTCTGGGGCCAAGGCTTTTGCCCCCATCCTGGCTTTTTGGCAGGGCCAAAAAACTGCACTAAGATCTAGCTAGTATGAGCTGTATTGAACTGTCTGATGCATCTGTCCAATAGAACAATGTTACTCAGACTTGTGTATGCATAACTCTGGGAGTAGGTGGTGAACTTTTAGAAGATACACAAGAGGAAGGAAAGGGAAAACAGAAGGGGAAAAGGAGGAGCAGAATAAAGTTTAAAAATAAAGAAAAATTCCATAGGCTCTTTAAGGTTGTTGGAGAAGATCCTGTGTTATTGCAATGACAAGATGTTACTGTTTTTAGTATTCATAACATGCAATCATAAAGGTACACAGCAATATAACAAACATAAACAGAGAGAAGGATGCAACTTACAAAAACGGGGGTCAGAAAATCACTGATTCGGGACCTGTTTGGGTAGCTATCTCAGTTGCACAAACAGAGAAGTGCAAGGAAACTGTATTTGGTTCATTATGTTCAAGGAAAGTTGAGATGAATAATGTAATGCATTAATTTATTACAGTTACATGTGCTCCTCCCCAGTCTTACATCATGGATACACCATAAAGTTGAGTTTCTCTGTCCATTTGTTCTCTCCTCATTACTCATGTTCAGATTTTGAATCCAAAGATCCATAACTAAGCCAGATGACCTGAGATTGCTGTAGTTTACAAGAGGTCTAGGATGCATGAGAGGGCTTTAGTGGAACAAAAATGGGGCTCCAATTGCTGCTGCTTTTTTGCATAGTTCAGAGCTTTCAGTTTCCTTTCCCAGTTAATGCCAACCTTTGTAACCACTGCACCATAAGGCCATGTGTTGGCAAACTGCCAGACAGCAGAAGGGGGCCTAGCCAGAATTGTCCTTTTTGTCTGTACCAAACTGACTGGTTCATTCTTTCTTATTGTTCAGTCATGTCTAAGAGTCATATTTTGCTTTAGGTGGGTATCAGCCAGTTTCTACATCCACCACTTCATCACATTAAGGGCTTGTCTTTCATACAAAAATTTCCCATTGCTGACAACGGATAACAGCTACATGGGCAATGCTGAACACACCAGAGCATCATTTCAGCCACACCCGAGGCTCATAACAGGCATTGCCACTGGCAATTTCTGTGATGCAATCAAAGCTTATAGCTTTTTTTTTGTTGTGCCACTGACAACTAGAGGGTCATGGTAGTGATGGACAAGAAATAATGCACTGGATAGGAGTCAGCATGGTTTTTATTGGATTGATATGAGTGAGTAAGTCACACTGACTGTAGGAACTGCAGTCTGCCTGTGGCTTCCTGCCTTTTACAACTAACAAAAAGCCTCCACAAACCACCTGGCCATACAATGCCAAGAGTTATAACCAACCTAGTGCACCAATAACACAAATGGGAATAAAATGCTCCTTCAAATCTTGCAGGAGGATGGCAACTGGTTAGGAGAAAGGAAAATTAAGGAACTAAAAGCAGAAGAAGAGAAGAGACAAAAAGGTCATCATGGTTCTTGGGTAAGCACAAATAAGGACAGAAGAGCCCTAAAACTTGGCTAAGGACAGACATTCAAAAAGCCTGAGCCTGAATTGATTCAATCTTTGCAGGTTAGTGTAACCTGACTAGGCTAAACCAGTTTGTTCCTGTACAGACATCCCTTCTGGACTGAAGCAATGCAGACACATGCCTGCAGTGGCTCAGGCTAGAAGCAGGTGGAGGGGTACTACAGCAGCCCTCCCTTCCATTCCACTATGCTGTGCTCCAGGGGAGGGAGTGGCCAGGACCTGGCAGGATGCTCTGATTAGGGAGGGGTTCCCTCTTTTGCTGTTGATAACAGAGCATCTAGACAGTGTGCAGGCGAAACGAGAGGCATGTTTGCATGACACTTTAAAGTGGGCTAAATGCTTTTGTACTGCTTTAATGGTGTCGGTGTTTGCATGCCCCGGTGGCATACTGCACATTAATTCCAGCTGCTGTAGGAAATTTGGCAGCGTAACGCACCTTAAATGACTTGGGGCACAGCAAACTAAAACTCCTTTGAGGAGTTTTAATTTGCTGCCTCTACAGTTATGGAGTGAAGCACCGGGCTCTGTGAAGCTCCACAGCTCTGCAGGAAGCCCTGCAGACAGCCTGACAGAAGCCCAGGAAAGCAGCTCTGCCCAAGAAAAGCGGCGAGCCTGATCTCCCCCTTCCCCACCCCTGGAGCCTGCCTGAGCTGCATGGGGACTCGGTGCTTCCCTCCCCAACTGCAGTGCCACATGGGACCACCCAAGCCAGATGCCTGCGGGTGGCTGCCGCCTGGGGGGCGTTGCAGCTGCTGCAGAGGGAAGCACAAGCCCCCCCCACAGCCCAGGGACCTTTCTGCCCTTCGGCAGCTCGCTCTCCCCTCCCCACCTGAGAGGTAGGTAAGTCAGCGGGGTGTGTGCATGACACGGGGGTTTAATCAGCCCTAAATTGAAGCCGTGTTTTTTAAAACCCACTGCATTAATTTAGGGCCCCTGTTTCATCTACACATGCCTCTAGTTACACAGCGGGGAGTTACACAGGGCGTTGTTTATCAGCCCATCAAACATAACAAAGCCTCTCTCATTAGTTCAAGCTCTTCTTAAACAACTTTTTCCAAGGAAGGAACAGAGGGACATTACCAGTGACCTGTTGATTAGCTCCAAAAAGCCCTAAGCTGATACCATCCTGTCTGCCTTTGTGCTGTCTCCCACAGCATGGACCATAGCCAGCATGTGGTCTGGTAGCTAATGCTGAGAGGTGTTTGTGTAAGGCACGGGGGGGGGGAATCCCTGCTTGAGCAGGGAGTGGTGGTGGGGTGGGGTGAGCAGGAGGAAGCCAGGCAGACCCTGCTGTGCCTGCAGTCTCAGCTGGAGCTCTAGCAAGGGAGCAGAGGGGCGGGGCCAGCCCTGCTGGGCTGGAAGAGAGCAGAGCCCCGCCCAGGGTTGCAAAGCATCTGGGATGCTGGGGGACTCTGGTTTAAGTTAAACCAGGAAAGGATCCGGGCCAGACATTGCATAAATCAGTTTGACCCAAATCAGTTAAGTCTGATACTACATTCAACCAGGTTTATCTCAAATTGGTTTCAGACATTTTCAAACTGGTTTATGTGTGCTGAATATCTGTTCTGTTACAGGTTTAAACCAATTTCTGATCACTTAAACCAGTTTATGTGTAATGTCTGTCCCTAGCCAGGAGGACAAAAGAGAAGAGGGAAAGTACCTCAAGGTGTTGGCATGACAGGCAAAAGAGGAAGAAAAAAAAGGGCAGTATAGGCTTCTAATACATCTACAACACAAAGCATTATTGGAGGGGAAGGAGACATTGTCTTGGCAACTCTTATTGCGTGTGTGAATTTTTGTAGGAGGATGTTCGTGCTAGATTATTTGCATAAGGCACATAGTGTGCTCTTTATTATTTTTTTAATGTCCTACTGGTATTATTTCGGTTTTTGTTTGCTTTGTTTTTCTTGGTGGCAACACTGTGTTTTTGGAAGTTTGTATGTGCTGTGGTTTTTATACAAATATCACTGACCAAATTTAGAGTGTGGTACATAAGAAACATGTTAGCAACTAAAACAAGAAACAATTATATAGTACAAATTGTATAATTAATTTTTAGAACTAACAGTTGTAGCTCCTTTGAACACACTTAATAATATTTATAATATTAAATGTTCTGTAGAATAGTTTATGAAAATAATGACATTAATGATTTGATGTCAAATATTTATCTAGAAATAGATTAAACAACCTACTTTTGTGCACAATACAAATTAATCCTGTGGTTTGTACAAGACACAATGAGCAAGGTACCAGCTCCTACATTTTTTCTACATCTTTTATTTGTATTTCAGTGGTGGTGAGCCCATAATCTAATGACAGAAACATAAAACTACAGAACCAGTGGGAAAGGGACTTTCAACATAACATCCAGTCCAACCCCCAACAGTAATGCAAGATGCACTTTTCTTACAAATCAGCTTCCATGTCAACATTTCAATAATTTAAAAAATTGCTATCATCTCCCCCGCTTAATCTCCTTTTCTCCAGACTAAGTAGATCTAGTTCTCTCAACCTTTCCTCATCAGCTTGCATACCAAGCCTTTATTGTCTTTGTTGCTTAGCTGTGGATTTCCTGCAGTGCCTCTTCAGCTATCTTAAAATGCAGTGCCCAGCATTGGACAGGATACTACAGCTGAGCCTAAGCAGTGTTGTGCAGAGTGGTATTATTACTTCCTAAGTCTTCTATACAAAACTTCTGTTGAATGGAGTCCAAATGTGCATTTCCTTTTTTGGCAACATAACACTGACAACTCAGGTAGAGTTTGTAATGCACCATAACCCCCAGAACCTTCTTGATAGTACCACTGCCTAAATAATTATTTCTCATTCTGTATTTGTGCATTCAGTTTTGCTTCTCAAACTGCAGCACCTAATACCTGTTTCATTTTTAATTTAATTCTGTTGCCCATCACCCAGTTCTATAATTTATTAAGATCCTTTTGAATTCTAATTCTGTCCTCGAGAACATCTGCAAGCTCTTCCAAGTCTTGTCAGTAAGCTTTCTATTCCTTGTATTCAAATTATTAATACAATAGTTTAGTATATAAAATAACATTTTGTTAATGAACTATTTAGTAGTTTGATTATGAAATTATATCGAATAATCATAAGCGCTGAGTGGTAAAACTAAACCGCGCTGCATATATCTTGCCTCAGTGTTGACGCAGCTTTTCTTTAGTTCGTTTGTTATATACACATTGCATAAAATGTGCGCAGTGTCTTTGGTATTCTACCTCCCTTTTCTCCCTCAATGCTAACAGTTTAGATTTACATCAATACTGAAACTGTGATCAGCATCTTCAGGCTTCTCCTTTCCATTTACCTTCCATTCCCCTGTTGTGAGGGTACCCAAGGCTGCCAATAGAAACAAAAATCATTGACTAACAACAACTCTCTCTCTTTCTCTCTCAGGGTTACTGATCTAGCTAGGGTGCTACTTTCTTAAAGCTGTTTTCTAGTACCTGTGCACTATATGTTGTATAACATTTTTTAAACGTTTGTAAAACAAATTTGTCATAAAAGTGTTTGTTTACTAGCAGCTAGTGGGTATTTATGAAATACAAAAAAGAAAATGTATACATTAGAAACAGATAGGAAATGTACATGAGTCACTGGTAACTTTATGCTGGGTGGTGGCCCTTTGGTTGGATCCAGGCCCATTTACCTTTAATGACGCATTCGCTGTACAAAGATAAAGTGGGAATATTAACCATCATTCCCTGCTGCACCTCTTCCAAAAATTAAAACCTTGTATAGGGAGAAAAGATCAATGATTCTTATCTTCATTCTATCTATGAATCCTAGATGAAGTACATCCAGAAAAATGGTAAGACTTAAGACTTAGGATTTACTGAACTCTGAACTAAACTTTCAAAACAGAACTTAAATGGCTAGAGCTGGTCTCCATGAAGGCAACATTACACCTTAAATTGATAAAAACATTTCAGCTAAAATTTCAGAAGGTATTGGGAACCAATAACACATTTTTATGACCCTAGAGTTTTGCAAATTAACTTTTGTTCAGACATGTGCTTTTGGCTAGGGACAGACATTCAAAAAGCCTGATCCTGAATTGATTCAACCTTTACAGGTTGGTCTAACCTGACTAAGCTGAACTGGTTTGTAACTGGACATTCTCCCTGGACTGAGGAAATTCAGGCACATGCCTGCAGTGCCCCAGGCTAGAAGCCAGGGGGTGCTAGAGCAGCCCTCCCTTCCCTTGTACAGTGCTGAGCTGAAGGGGGAGGGGCACGGCCATGCCCCAGCAGAAGCTCTGATTAGGGAGGTCTGCCTGCAATGTCCCAGGCTTTTCCCCACTGACTGCTCAAGGGGTGGGAGTGTAGCCAGACCCCAGCCCCCTGCTAGCACTCTGAGGCAAGGTGGGGGTGTACAGTGCATGCAACTGCTGCTGACATGGAGCTTTTCAATCTCCCTCCCTGCTTCTTTATACTGCCTGCAGCAAATTGACAGGCAAGCAAGCCACCAGGGGAATGATGATAGTGTTTATAATCCCATCAGCAAAAGAATAGCCTCTCTCCATTAGTTCAAACTCTTCTTAAACAGCTTACCAGCTGACCTGTTGATTAGCTCCTAAGTGGTCACTGTTCAGTCTGCCTGTCCCAGTGAAATTGGAGAGATACACACACACAGACACCTCTCAGCCTTAGCTAGCATACCACATGCCTGGGCTTCATGGGGCTGGGGTCCATGCTGTGGGAGATAGGAGGGAGGGAGGAAGGTGGGGGATTCTTGCTTAAGCAGAAAGCAGTGAGGTGGTAGGTAGGGCAGGGGAAGCCAGGCAGACCCTGTTGTGCCTGCACCACCAGGGGAATGATGATAGTGTTTATAATCCCATCAGCAAAAGAATAGCCTCTCTCCATTAGTTCAAACTCTTCTTAAACAGCTTACCAGCTGACCTGTTGATTAGCTCCTAAGTGGTCACTGTTCAGTCTGCCTGTCCCAGTGAAATTGGAGAGATACACACACACAGACACCTCTCAGCCTTAGCTAGCATACCACATGCCTGGGCTTCATGGGGCTGGGGTCCATGCTGTGGGAGATAGGAGGGAGGGAGGAAGGTGGGGGATTCTTGCTTAAGCAGAAAGCAGTGAGGTGGTAGGTAGGGCAGGGGAAGCCAGGCAGACCCTGTTGTGCCTGCAGCCTCTACCAGAGCTCCAGCCAGGGAGCAGATGGGAGGGGCTAGCTTTACTGTGGAGCAGAGAGCTCAGTCCAGAGAGCATGCCGGGATGCTGGGGGAGTCTGGTATATCTTAAACCAGCAAGCGGTCTGGGACAGACATTGCTTAAACTGATCTGACCCAAATCAATTAAGTCTGATACTACTACATTCAACCAGGTTTATCTCAAACTGGTATCAGCCATTTTGAAACTGGATTATGTGCACAGAACATCTATTCTGTTATAGGTTTAAACCAGTTTCTGATCATTAAACCGGTTTATGTGTAATGTCTGTCCCTCACCTTTATGTCTATTTCTTGTGGATGTTATGCACTGTTGCACAAGCGTTTCGAGTTCTTCTTTGTGCCAGTCCCCAGAGGTTATGAGTTGCTACAGCTCTCAGCTTCAGACTAGGGCTCCAAACACTAGAAATCTCTGGTATGCTAGTCAGGAATGGGGCTGCCATATACATAAACTCCCAACATTTACTCCTGTATCAGACAGACAGATGCCTTAATGACTGATCTGTGCACATTATCATAATCTAAGAGGCCCCTGTCAAAATATGTCCCCTGAAGAACTTAACCTAACATATTTTTTAAGCTGCTGCCCTTTTGAAATGTTCCGTTTTGGAAATGGCTTCAAATGTACACGTATCCAAAACCTCAGGATGCAATCAGGTTTGTTGCAATGCAAATATCCTTTCTGTGGGCCTCTAACCACTATTTAGGGCTATATGATGCTATGCAGTATTTACCATACAGTGTTTGGGAGACTTGAAGTCCTCTCTTAGATGAATTATTCTTCATTTCTGATTAAATTCAAGAAGCCATTTTCAACTGTGTCAGAGAAACCAATAATTGCACCATCAACATTGGGAGAAATAGGAGAAACAGAGTTTATTTTTATTTTTAAATACCTCTTAGCTATTCCTTCTTCCAGAAGTCCTACAACTTGTTTGTAGTCTGTAACTAAGTGCTGGGACAAACCTGTTGGAAATTTAAAGAAAAGAAAAAAAAAAGAAAAAAAATCAAAACCAGATTTTATTCAGGAAACTTTGTTTAATTCTTATCTCTTGATTTTTTTTCTACTCAGTGACAGTCAGGAGGATACAAACATTGTATTTAAGACTCAGGGATGGTCCACCCATAGTTTTTCAATCAGCATAACTCTTTTGATTAGGGAGTTGATTTTTTAAGCCAAAATAATTATACCAGTACAACCTCTAGTTTGGAAGCAGTTGCAAAGGGCTTTTATCTCAGTACAGTTTAGTCTCCTTTTCATGCAAGGATAAGCTATAATGGTATAAACGTTGTTGCAGTAATAATACTACATCTACACAAGAAAGATTTTGTCCCTTTAATTATGCCAGTATAATTAGTCTGGTACACCCTTTTTGCAGATAAGCCCTTAGCTGCAGCTTTTACAAATGGAAGGTACTGAAAATGAATAAGAGAATGACAATGCCCTCCATTGGGAGTTTCCAACTGCATGCTTATTTAGCTAAATACCATGTTCTGGAACTGCCACATTTACCAGTAAACCGTACACAGACTGTAAAGGCCTTATACCTCCATAAAATGTACTCTGGTTATGGTCCTAGAGATAATATTAATATAGCTGCCCACAGAAAAAAAAAAGCCCTCTTGATGATACAAGAAATACTGCATTGCAGAGTTGATGGTAATAGGTCAGTACTGTGACTGATGTGGCCCCACTGGAGGGCAGTATGTTTCTATGCTTTTTGTTACTAGCAGTTTATAAAATGTGAATTATAGCCAGCATGCTTAGCTGACTTCAGTGGACCTGTACTCAGGATTAATTGATGCTGTACTATTACTATGTCTATTTATTATATGTACTGCAGTAGCATTTAAGGGGCCCCAGTTGCAGTTCAGGATTTCATTGCGTGATGCACTGTAAAATATATTCTTCTTCCTAAGATTTTTATCATGGGGTAGAAGAGAAATGCTGTTTCTGAGGGGTTTTGTCCTCTTGTATTTCACTAGCATAACAATCCTGAAAAACATTGTCATCTTTCTGTATGCATACTTTTGTGACATGAGGGGGGCTGCAGTGAGGATGAGATGCATCTTGAGGAGTATAAAATGATGCATCTCTTGTAGGAATGTAAGTCAAGATTAACTATCTACCCTAGTCCATTTTAAAGCCCAACTGGACAAGGTATGTCCTCAGATAACAGATGGCTTGATTATCAATAAGGACTGAATCTGGGCCAAAGATGAAAGATTTATTTTAGTCTTGTAATGCTTTTACCTGAATCATCACTGACTATACCTAAATGAATCCCACCAGTAGTCTAAGCACACACAAAAATATAATAAAGTTTACAAGGCAGAAAGCACTTATCCTACTGTTTGGTGTTTTACTACATGCTGCACTCCAAAAGATGAAAAGATAATTGCTTTTTATCAAATGGGAAAATATTGTTCAAACAGTTCTGGTGTCAGTAAGGTACAGAGTGTACTAAAGTACCATTGACTATTTCCCTAACTCACTCTTAAGGGTTTTTTAACCCCTTAAGAATAACACTAATTATGTACTGGGGATGGTTAGGTTTAAAAATATACATTTTCCACAATTCGTTTAAAAAGGCAAATGAAAATCTGTACATGTTCTTTGCAAAGAAAAACAACAAGTTTTCTCTCTGCTGCTTGGGAAAAGAAACACCATTTTCAAGTATCAAAGAAAGATCACAAACTCCTTCTAGTTCCGTCTCAAAGACAGAATCTCCCTCAGAAATGTCTCAAAGTAACCAAATAGATTGCATCACTTCCTGATTTAAAAGAGGCTGATTCCTTAACAGTGCAACCATCTGTAAGGGAGAATTTTGAAACCATTCCAATCTGAAGTACTGAAATGCTTTCAGCATTTTAAGGGGTAGAATCTTGCAGGCTTTACATTGAAAAAAGATGGGCTGGAAATTATTCAAAATACTTAGTGCAGGGAGCTGGAATTTCCTGACTGCACTTGCAAATGGAAAATGCATTACTTCTAATATGAGAGTAATTAAGCATCCTTAGAAGGGTGTCTCTCTCTAGTTTTCTTCCCTGTCTATTTTTCATCCAAGTACTGATTTCAGTGTGTTAGAGACTACTGACGTAAACTATGTCAGTGACAAAATAATAGGATAAAAGAGAGCCCCTCCTTACCCCTACAAGTTTTCTGTTACCCCATAACCTCTAAGTCCTCACACACAGTAAGTATAATGCAAATACAGAGACAAGTCTTGGTATGCTGCAATACACTGTGGAACACTGTGGACATAATGGAACACTGATCTTTGACTTGCTCTCATCAGTTTAACAATGCTCATTTGTTCCATGCAGCAAACTGCCTAATAAAGGAGTGAAAAATATACTGCTCTCCTAACAACAAGGGCTACAGTTTAGACACTGATGCTATTGGCTACAGGATTCGTTGAGCACGATCCCATGCAAATTCCATAAACAAACTTCCACAGGCAAGGTCATGCGAGTGCTGAAATCATCCATTACTGACTTCAGCAACATGACATCATGGTATACTACACATCTGAGTTAGAATTTCCCTAAAATAAAGCCCCTTTACTGGGTTGTCAAATGGTCCATACTCCAGTGCTGCCTGTGGTTCTGAGTTGACCCACTGGCTGCAGGCAGGGCATGCCGGATGGGCCCACCTGACACAAGTGGCACTGGCCCCAGCTCACATCCCAGAGCAGCAGAGCGGCTGCTGCATGCAACACAGCCCCAGAGTGGCAGAAGCAGGACTGTGCCACATATGGTGCCCACTCTGGCCACTCCAGGACACGTGCTGGATCTGAAATGTGGCGCCAGTTTGTCAGTCTGATCTGGCCTGCAGACTGGCTGCAGGCCACTCATCCAGCCCCCAAAGCTGACTAAGTTTGAAATCCCTGACCTATACTGATCAGAAGTGCACAAAACGTGTGAACTGTCCTACCCATGCTCACCTGCCATGTGAGCTAGCTAATGAGCACCATTCTGCAGGCATCAGAGCTCCTCTTTATCAGTCTTCCTCCAAAAACCAAATAAAAACAATATGTAAGCACTGGCTCGTGTGATATAAACAATTATAGTTTTTAAGCACACACACACACACAGTACCATGCATTTAAGTCATCTGACTACAAACCCCAGGACACTCATCAGTTGCAAATCAATTCTATTCATGCAGTCCCACAGCAATACTGAAATGTTACCACAAGGCACCCTTCAACAGAGAAGTTACTTTATTTTTCATGCATGAAGCCAATTATTTCTAATATTTTGAGCTATGTTTATAACTATAAAGAGTTGAAATTTCCTTACAGGGATAAACACATACCACTCCCCCATACAGGCCCACAATGATATGAACAGCAGAGGAAGGGAGGGCTGCCTCACATGGAGTTTTCAAGTTGAATTTCCTGATGTAACCTAAAAAAGGGCACTCCCTGACTGGCATAATGTGTTTTTATTACACTGTTCTCATACTACAGAATGAAAAAAAAATCAGGGAAGGGGACGGTTAAAGGGAAAGCACACAACCATGTCTCCACAGTCCTTGTTACAAGCAATACTGTAGGAAACATCTGGTTATCAAATTCCTATTTAAAAGGATAACAATAAATATACAATATCAGAACTAAAAAATAAAAATAGATTTATTTTATGAAGGACTACCTCTGAAACAACAGGAGTTTTCCCTACCACAGTGACACATTAAGAAGAGACTTAAGTCCCAACTATGACTTGTTTTCACCCAGTTCAAGGAAACTCTGGAATCAGTGAAGCCAAGAACTTTAGATATGCAGGTTTGAGGGAAGCCTGCTGGCAGAGAAAGCAGCAGCAAGCTGTATTTCGGTGTGGGAAATGATCTTGAGAAAGTAAGTAGTATTTGCTGGTAGAGTTCTGCAGTGACCAGGGTCTGGGCAAGAGATGTAGTAAGGATTCCAGAAAAGCAGCAGCTGGAAACAAAAGAACCATGATGAAAACCAAACATGCATATTTTCATTTTTTTTTTTTTTTTTTTTTACAGGATCAGCCCATCAGCACTCCAGGTGCTGATTCTATAGAAAGGCATGACCAGAATGTCACCTAGCCAAATGTGTGGGAAGGCATGTCTGAAATCTCCTCTCTGGCTCCAAGGTGACTAGTTCATGTTCTGATATATAAAAAACGATCATTATCAGTAACTGATATGTAAATAGTGGTTAGTGGGAGAAGCAGGAATCAGGATCCAGGATTATGTTTTTCGCTCCATCACTGCCTTGCTTTAGGACCATGGGCAAGTCATCGAGCACCTCTTTGCTTCAGTTTAATTACCCTTAAATTGTGAATAGCATATATCTGTTTTTCAGTGAACTTGTGAGACTTACTTAATGTTTGTGATGCATCCTGAGATTCTTGGAGGAAAAGTGTTATAAACTATTATTATTTTAGCTTGTACAGCTAATATAATTGACTACAAACATTATTAATGGGTTTCAATGTATCCAACTATTTTAAAAAGACCATCAAAGCATTTAGCTTGATTTTCCATTTTCAATTCCCACCTGCTTAAAAAATCATGCATAAAATTAAGTGGCATGATAATGACAAGCAGTCAGAAAAAAGGAGGGCTTGGAGAAAAAGAAGAAATTTACAAAATCAATGGAGACAAAAGGCCTAAATTTAAAGCCAGAGCAAATTAGTATTTAATCTAATGACAGAAGCAATGCACTTCTCTTATGTGCATTTCACACATTAAAAGGAGTACTTCCCAGGTGTCAGGTATATTACAAACCACTTGGTGATCAGCCAAGAGTTGGCAGCATCAGTAATTCCAAGGGCAATTCGGAGTTTTGCCCACTGTGGAGACATAGTGGTTAGTAGCACATTAAAAAGGAAATGGGCATATTTACTTTCCAAACAAACAAGACCCATTTTTAAAGTCTGCATTACTCTGGAAAGGTCTCTTTCC